CTGAGACACTCCTGCGCAACCCTGCCTGCTGCAGCCCCAGCTGACTGGAACACATCATAACGTGATATGACAGATTAAGGCTGCTTGCTTACTCACAACAGAAAACACAGTATCCGATGCAACTGTGTTCATTCAAATATCTTTGTTTTAAAAGATTTATTTTTATTGGAAAGTCAGATGTTCAGAGGAGAGACAGAAGTCTTCACCCACTAGTTCAATCCCCCAAATGGCTGCAGTGGCCAGAGCCGAGACTGAGCTAAAGCCAGGAGCCAGGAGCTTCTTCCACGTCTCCCATGTGGCTGCAGGGTTCCAAGGCTTTGGGCCATTCTCTACTACTTTCCCAGGACACAAGCAGGAAGCTGGGACGTGAAGTGGACCAGCGGGGAAAAGAACCAGAGCCCATATGAGATACTAGCGCTTTCAGACAGACTAGCCAATTGAGCCACCATGCCAACCCACAGTATGTTCTATACTAATAGCTCTATGTAGCATAAATTCAGGAATTTTAACTGGTGTCATATGGGCTGTTCTGAAGCTGGATGGCAGGACTGGAGTTCATCCTGTCACATGTGCAGTAACCACAAAATCAAAGCAGCCCTTCCAAGAGGGCCTGTGCCTTTGACAAGCTTTTTTAATATTTACTGAGTGGGGGCCGGAGGGAAGTCACCCACTGCCTGCAGCACCAGTAATCCATAGGTCATCGGTTCCTGTCCCAGGGGGAGCCTGCAGTCCTTGCAACCCTGCACCCAGTTGGGAGACCAGGAAGAAGCGCCAGGCTCCTAACCAGCTCAGCTCCTGCTGTTGCACCCATGTACTCGATGATGAATAAGACCCGGTCCTTGCCATTCTGTCACTTAAAAATGGAGAGAGACGGCCAATAACGGGAAGCCTTCATGACCACCTAGCCGAGCTGTAAGCAGAAGTGTTCTCAGTGATGAAGGCTCTCGCCCTGCCCTGGGAAGAGCACTGAGGTGCCTCGGCTGCACCTCACCCTGCTGCCGTTCACACACACCAAAGGAGAGCACACGGGGCAGGGGAAGACAGCGAGCCGGGAAGGACGCCTGCACGGCTGCACGCTCCGGCCACGGCAGAGGCAGGTAGAGGGCGGCGAGCAAAGACCGGGGAGCAAGGCTGAGACCGCCAGGGGATGCTTGGGAAAGGACTGCCCCACTCACCCTGCGCTCCGCTGACTACGGCCGACCTCGGGGAAGGACCGCTTCCGCTGCAATGCCGGAAGTTGGGGGGAAAGGGCGGATTCAAACGCTCCCCTCTAGGAAGCCTGGAGGACTGCAACTCAGTGGCAGTACAGCCTTGCTGCCCAAGCAGTCAAACTTGAGGATTGAAAGGGGAAGTACCCTTAATTACATTCACGTTTATGTATATTTGTTTTATGTTTGTTTACGTTCATATGTATGCATGTTTCTTTATGTCTGTATTTATCTTTACGTTTATGTCTATATAAATCAGATGCATATTACATATAAATCTATATTACACTCAGATGGGTATACAAGAGAATTAAAAAGTAAAATCCAAAGTTTCTCATTAGGAGGCGGAAAACTTCATCACACTCCCTGCCTGCCGGCTGTGCAAGATCCCAGAGGAGCCTAGGAATCCTGGCCCAGGAGGGCGAACTCCAGATGAGGTGTAAGACCATACTGCCATGCAGTGCCAGGCGGTGGTCAGCATTTCCCTGTGCAGTTCGCTGCTGTAGGTGAGCCTTGTCCAGAGGCAAGGAATGTGGAGAGCCAGGCCAGCCCGATGTGTCCCCCATGGGAGACAGAGCCCTGTGCAGAAAAATCCAGGCTAGATCACCAACTTGGGAAGGAGACCAGGGTCCCCGAGGCGACAGGGAATGGGTTGAGTGAATTCAGTTGTGGGGAGTTTCGTATGCCCAGTCTAGAACCTAGGAGTGTATTAAATAGTAGTGAAAGGCCCCGGATGATGGCTCAGTGGCTAAATCCTCCCTTGGGAGCACTGGGATCCCTTAAGGCCGCGGCTTTCTGTTCCAGCTACTACACTTCGCTTCTAGCTCTCCGCTTATGCCTGCGAGAACAATAGAGAATGCCCAAAGCTTGGGCCCCTGCACCCACATGGGAAACTTGGAAAAAACTCCTGGCTCCTGAGTTCAGATTGGCTCAGCTCCAGCCGTTGAGGCCACTTGGGGAGTGAACCAGCAGACAGAAGATCTTTGTCTCTGCTTCTCTCTATAATCTGCATCTAAGGCAGAAGCAGAAAGCAGACAGAAGAGATGAGAGCCAGAGAATAAGTGGTTAGAAGTGTGAATTTCCCAAGTTTTCATCTGAAAATTGCTGATGGGAAAGGGCGTTAGACCACAATGGCAGGGGAAAGAAACTTGTGTTAATTAAGCAGGGAACTGTGCAGTACCGAAGTTTGGGGAAGAGGGAGAGAGGTTAGAAGAGCCACTCAGATAAGGTGTATCCATGTAATTCAAACATACCAAAAGGAAGGAGTGTGCTGTAAACTACCAAAACACCAAAAATAAAATACTGCAGAATAAATCTGCCCAAAGTCATGAAAAGATATGCAAAATGCTGGAAAGAACTAGAAAATGGTGCTGAAAGATCTCAATCAATGGAAACACATATGGTGTGCATAGATCAAAGTGCTCAGTGTTGCTAAGACACCAATTCTGCCTCAATTTGCACTATAGATCCATTCCAGGGTCAACCAAAACCTCAGCTAGCTTTTTGTCAGAAACTGGCAAGTTGAAAATTCATATGGAAATACATTCAAACTAGAACAGCCAAAACTAAGGCAAGCTCAGAGGTTTCACAGTGCGAAGTTCAAGCTTTACGACAAAGCTGCTTTCCTGACAGGGTGCTGTTAGCCTAGAGCCCCTCAGAGCAAAGGAAAAGTAAAGAGAAGCAGACACAGGCTCACCCGGTCTGGGCGACTGGCACACAGCCAGAGGTCGGAAGGAAACTCAGGGCCCAAGACCGATCCGTGCTGTCATTGCCCGTTATCAATCACAAGACACCTCAGAGTGGCATCTATTCCAAAAGGAGACTCCTTGAGCTCCATGTTTTGAACGATGAAAAAGTCCAAAGAGTGTGTGCCTGGCTGCACCCATCTTGTAATCTCCCAGGAGGTCACACTTCCGAAAGACACCATTTCTTAACACAAGTGTCACACAAGGACCAAGCTTCCCACACATGAGCCTTGGCATACCAACCACAACACACAGAAACACACAACTGAACTCTGCCCCAAACCTCAGGGTCCATTTCCATAAACTCAAGATGGATTACAGACTTAACGTAAGACCTAAAGCACTAAGTAATCTCTAGAAGAAGAAGAAAAAAATAGTATCTCTTGCTAACTTAGACTGGCCACAAACTGTGCATACATGACAGTGAAAGCATGGTCTTTTAAAAAAAAAATCCTGAGAACCTGAGAGTAATTCATCAGAATGTAATTCATCAAAAAAGAAAAACACAGCCTATTTGCAAAGCATGTGTCCGATAACAGGTTTGTGTTCACACAGGCAGAAGTTGTTTTTTTTTTTTTTACACAAACATTTCCCTGTAGAATCTACACATGGCATAGAAGCAAACAGAAAATGCTCAATCCGCTGCTCATGAGGAATAGATGCAAACGGATGCCACTGGGAGGTTGGTGGTGAGCTGCTGAGTACGGAGCAAATGAAACTTTCACACTCCGCCAGTGGGAATGTAGAACTGCCTGCCACCAGAAAGTAAGCAGTGTGGCAGTTTTGTAAAATGTTAAACACATACCCACTACCAGAGGGAAAAAAGCTTACATTCTTGAAAAATTTGTAGATGAATGTTCATGAAGTTAAAAAAAAAAAAAACACAAACACTCCAAATGACTGTCAACTGCTGAACAGACAAACATCTTGGGCCTGGAGTGGCGGCCCAGTGACTAAATCCTAGCCTCGTACAGGCGGGATCCCACATGGATGCCAGTGTGTCCCAGCGGCTCTGCTTCCCATCCAGCTCCCTGCTAGCAGCCTGGGAAAGCAGTCACAGCGCAAAGCCTAGGGACCTTAGGACCAGCACCCACGTGGGAGACCCAGAAGAAGCTCCTGGCTCCTGGCTTCAGATCAGCTAAGTCACTTGGGGAATGAACCAGTGGATGGAAGATCTTTCTATTTCTCCTTCTGTCTGTAAATCTGCCTTTCCAATAAAAATAAATCTTATCCAAAAAATAGATAAACAAATTGTGGCATCTACAATACAGGGCTAGGAGGACCTCTTCCCGGCCCCAGCCCTCACTTCAGGCCTGTTCTGGGACCTCTTAACCCAAGTCACCTGTCACACTGCTCTCCTCATTTCCCAAGCTGGTTCCGAGGATGCAGGAACATCTCGCCCTGCCTGGGGTCCCCTCCCATCCTCACCCCCTCCTCACCCTGACCCTAGCTGCAGGGCAAGGCGACTTCTTAGCCATAGTCCCCCAGCGCTTCCTCCATCGCCAAGCAGAGGCTGACGCAGCCTCCCGGCAACCCCAAGGTCGCATCCAGCAGGTAGGACAGCGGCTCTGACAGCGCGGCTCCGGGACCGGCTCACGATGGCGAGACCCTGGCAGCCCTCCCGGGCACGGAGTCCCCAGCCCAGGCAGAGGGTCCGCCAGCGCCGGCAGGGCACTCCTGGGCACTTCACGTGGCGGGGAAGGGCAGGTAAAAAAGCACAGGAAGAAAGTTAGAATGGAAGCACACCTGTGAATCTTTGCAAGCCATGCGGGGGGTGGGGAAAAAGGGGCCGGGGGTGTCTTATAAAGATACATAACGGAAGGATTCCCTGTGTGGACAATCTACCTTGTCGCAGAGCGCTCTCCTGGGAAGAGTCCTGCATTCACCTCAGTAACCGGCAGCGGGGGCTGCTGCCAGGTCCCTCGCTGAGGCTCCGCTGGGGACAGCAGGCGGGCGTCAAGGGGTTAATTCTCAGGGGCCTCCCCACCCCCTCTCCTTCCCCCCCTCCTGCACTCTGCGCCTGCGCAGAGACTCGCCATAGAGCTGAGCCGTCCTCCCGCGTTCCTAGAGGGGACGCCCGCCCCCTTCTACCCCGGCTGATGAGCCGCGAGCGTATTTGATAGCGATCCGGAGACCGCGTCCAGGTACGGGTGATGTCCACTCGCGGAAGGCAAGGAACTCGGGTGATCTGGCCTGGCCTGGTCGGCTGGGCTTAGGGTAACGCTGGACGAAGGCCAGAGACTCTGGCGTGGGCAGGTGGGGTCCGGAAGCGTGGAGTACGGCGCGCCAATCAGCCGGCAACCTGGATTTGTGAATGTTGGGAGAAACGAAGGAGGGAGACAAAGGTGGTGACGATCGGCGGGTGATCCCCGAGGACACACTCCAAAGCGGCCTCTCCGCCGTGTTTGGCTGTCGTGCGCACCCCTAATCTTGGAGGTAGCTGTCTGGCCTCGGAGTGGGGTACTCATGTCAGACTGCCGCGTGACGGACGGAAGCCCTTGGACACTATGAGATTTTTGTTTTCTTTTTCGTGTAACAGCAGAGTATGCCTCTGGTGGTCTGCTCTCAGAACGTGCCATCTCTAATCTGCGCGGTGACGCCCTTCTACGCCCAGTGGTGCCCAGTTGCCTCCGGGTGCAGGAGGGAAGCCTCCAGAGGAAATGGTGTTTCTCCACGTGCGCCCTGAGGTGACCAGCTGCAGCCCATGGAGACCCAGTCCAATGGCAAGCCTCAGGACATGCGGCCTCCGCCAGGTGAGGAGCAGTGTGTTGCCCCCAGGGCCAGGTGGCACCCCTGTGCTCCTGGCAGCTGCTGACAGGATGCTGTTAGATTTGCCGACACAGGCCTTGATTATGCCAAGAGATGCCTCCCCCACGACCTGCTGCACAGGACCCCCTCCTGCCCACGCCCTGGCTGCCTTTCCAACTCTAGCTTGCAGGTCTCTCTTTTCGGAGTTAATCCATTTCTGCCTTTACCATGACCTCATTAGCCGTCTCTGCGTTTAGTATCTTCCCTTTAAAATCTCTTCAGGTCATCTTATCTACCACAGGCACATGGTGAAAAGGTGCCGAGTCTGACAACCTGCGTTCTAACACTAGCTTAAGTAACTAACTCAGAATTCTGCAGCTGCTTTTATAGTTATCCATACCTCAGTGAGTATTTTGAGAATGTGTCTATTACTCCTGAGTAATGGAATCCAAAACTTAATGGTCCAAAACTTCAGTCACTATTTCCTACAGTTCTGTGGGTCATCCTGCTTGAGATGGTTTTTAATTGGGAAGGTTTGTATTTCCAGGTCTTATCTGGGATTTTTTTTTTTTGAAAGGTAAATTTATAGAAAGAAGGAGAGACAGAAAGATCTTCCATCTGCTAGTTTACTCCACAAGTGGCCACAATGGTTGGAACCGAGCCGATCCCATGCCAGGAACCAAACGCTGCTTCTGGATCTCCCACGCGGGTGCAGGGTCCCAAGGCCTTGGCCTGTGCTTCACTGCCTTCCCAAGCCACAGGCTGGAAGCTGGATGGGAAAAGTGGAGCAGCCAGGACACAAATTGGCGCCCACGTGGAATCCTGGCGCTTGCAAGGGGAGGATTGGCTAGTTGAGCCATGGTGCCAGGCCTATCACTGTTTATTTCTATTCATTAGTTCTAGGACAATGCAAAATCTTTATAATACCAGGGATTTCCTGAGAATTCATGGAACATGCATATTGTAAAAAATTATCTATGGTTCTCAGAACTTTCTGCAGAAGAAGACATCTTTAATTTTTCTAACAACTCTTTGGTACTCTTTTTTTCCTGATAAAATTATTTTTTAATTGATTACATTGCATTATGTAGCACAGTTTTATAGGCACTGAAATTCCCTCACCCCTCCCCAAACCCCACCCCATGGTGAATTCCTCCATCTGTTGCATAACCACAGTTCAAGTTCAGTTGAGATTCTTTCATTGCAAGCATATACCAAGCATAAAGTCCAGCATCTTATTGTCCAGATAAGTTCTTTGATACTCTTGTACTTTAGTTCTTCTTGCACTATTTTTTCCATGCTTTTTTTTTTCTATTTGATTTATTTATTTTTATTAGAAAGTCAGATATAGAGAGAGGAGAGAGAGGAAGATATGTCCAATGGTTCACTCCCCCAAGCAATCACATGGCTGGGGATGAACCAATCAAAAGCCAGGAGTCCAGAGCCTCTTCTAGGTCTCCCACACGGGTGCAGGGTCCCAAGGCTTTGGACCATCCTCAACTGCTTTCCCAGGCCACAAGCAGGGAGCTGGATGGGAAGTGGGACTGCCGGGATTAGAACTGGCCCCATATCCTGGTGCATTCATGGCCAGCACTTCAGCTGCTAGGCCACGCCGCCTGGCCCCTGTTTTTGCCATGCTTTTAAAACCCTTTATTTATTTGGAAAGCACAGAGACCAAGAACATCTCCAATGTGGTGATTTTCGTCCCAAGTACGGGTGCCTGCAACAGCCAGGATGGGGTTAGCCCAGAGCCAAGGCAGGTCTCCAGCTTGTGGGCCAGGTACTTGAGCCATCAGCTGCTGCTTCCCAGAATGCACACTGACAGGAAGCTGGAGTCAGGAACAAAGTCGGAACTCAATCCCAGGTGTTCTCAAAGGGGATGCATGCATTTCAAGTGGAGGTCTAATTTACCTTGCTGTGCCAAATGCCCACGTGCTTTGTGATTTAATTCCTTTTCTGGTAAATTCCATGAGATGTTCAGGTTCCTCTAATCCGTCAGTACACCTGTAGATCTTCCCAGATGCTTTATCCAGTGCTCCTTGTTGCTGCATTACTTTCCTTGCACCAGAAAGGCTTTTCTGTGCTGAAGAATTCCCTTTGCTATTTCTTTCAATGCAGATCTGTTGGCCAAAACCGTCCTTGATTTTTGTGTAGCTGAAAACATATTTAACTTTTTTTTTATAACTCTTTTTTAAAGATTTATTTTATTTTTATTGCAAAGTCAGATATACAGAGACAAGGAGAGACAGAAAGATCTTCCATCCAATGATTCACTTCCCAAGCGCCCGCAATGGCCTCTGCTGCACTGATCGAAAGCCAGGAGCCAGGAACCTCTTTCAAGTCTCCCACACAGGTGCAGGGTCCCAAAACCCTGAGCCGTCCTCGACTGCTTTCCCAGGCCACAAGCAGGGAGCTGGATGGGAAGCGGGGCCGCCGGGATAAGAACTGGTGCCCATACGGGACCCTGGCATGTTCAAGGCAAGGACTTTCACCGCTAGGCCATGGCGCCAGGCCCTAACTTTCTTTTTTAAGGCATGTTCTCCTAGTAATGTAATTCTAGGTTGGCACACACTTTGTGTCAATGGTTGAAAGAAGGCATTCCTTTTTCTTCTGAATTCTCTCATTTCTGTTGAAGTCAGGAGTAACTTACCATGATCTTTTATATTCCTGCACATCTTAAAAGCAGCAGGATTGTCTGTCTTTGTTTTGAACTACTTTTCAAGAATGTCATATAATGAGCAATCTTTGAATAGTAGTAACGTCTCCCTTGAAAGTAAAACACAGTCCTGTTTAGTGCATATTGTAACAGATTTGGGTGAGCTGGGATCAAGTGTCGCTGCCCTGTAACATAGCTTACTGCGAGAGTCACCCTCATGGACATGGAGTTCAGAAACCTCTGCAAATGCTGCTGCTCTGTCTTGTGTTATTGCTGGGAATAATAAAGCATCCTTTACCCCTCATTTGGGAGTCTGTGGTTTCTGCCGGTACCCATGGCAGTGTAGTTGTCTAATTTGTTATTGGATAACATTCCAGATTTTTCAGTTACTGAAAGTTTTGGCGAAAAGGATGGGATGATGACAGTACCATGGCTTCCTGAAAGAGGAAGTATGGTGGCCTCTGTGATGGCGTAACATGTAAAGCTGGCACCTGCAACAGCAGCATTCCGTATGAGCACTGATTGGAATCCTGGCTGTTCCACTTTCTATCCAACTCCCTGCTAACGCACCTAGGAAAGCAAGAGAACATGACCCAACACTTGGGCCCCCACTTCCACGTAGGAGACCCAGATGAAGCGCCTGGTTCTGGGCTTTGGTGTTCCAGCCATTTGGGGATTGAATCAGCAGATTGAAAATCTTTCTGTCCTCTCTCTATAACTCTAACAAATAAATATCTACTTATTTGAAAGACAGGATTGGAGAGAGGAGGGTCTTCTATCCAGTGGTTCACACCCCAGGTGACCACAACAGTCAGAGCCAGGCCACTCCAAAGTTAGGAGCTGCTTCTGGGTCTCCCAAGTGGGCACAGAAGCCCAAGCACATGGGCTGGCTTCCACTGCTTTCCTATGTATACAGCAAGAATCTGGAGCTTCACCCACAACACCACAGCACTAGCTGTGAGTTTAAAGATTTTTTTTTAATCTTAAAAAGAAAGAAGAAAATCTTAAAGAAGAAAATCTTAAAGAAGAAGTCAGGGTCTTACAGAGTACTTATCAGATATTACAGAAGTCCCTAGCAATCAATGGCAAGAATGTTAACCAAATTACATGGTCCACTGAGCAATGTATATTTCTCTAGTGTGTGTTGATAAGAATTTGAGAAGTGGTTGCAGGCCAAAGGCAAAATACATGTTCAGAGACAGCTGTCCAAATTGTCCTCTGGTTGCTACAAACTCCCCGGTAAGGGAACATCTCACCAGTTAAGTGATCAGCTTCAGGTTCATCGCATTGTAAGGACTAAGAATTAAGATCATCTTGGGTACGCAGAAGTTCCCACTCCCTTTAAGTGACAGTTGGAGAAACATGTATTTATAGTGAGCACAGAGGGGAATCTTTGATCAGTGTGGACAGAAGCCAGGTGAACTGTTAAGAACTTTGGGTGTGTGATGCTTAAGGAAGAGTAGAAATAGCTGTGCATCTTACTACTCAGTCCTGTGGTCTGTCATGCCATCCATAGGTCCATTTGGAGATGACAGTAGCACAGAGGAACTTGGGCATTCTGGGAGGGAGAATTTCAGACAGAAGAGTACTCCTGTGCATGACCGTAGATGAGGCTTAACTAGCAAGCACGCTGTTAGAGCTCTGGGTTGGGTTTATAGTGCTGTGGACATGACCAACTGCATATGAGAGAATTAGATAAATCCTCAAGATCCAGTCCTGTCATATTGGTAAGTCCCTTAGCCTTTATGTTAACCAAGCAAGAATTAAGCAATGTTAGCATGACAATGGAGTAGCAAATACTGTCTTCAGTCACCACTGTGCAAAAGATAATGCTCCGGCAAGACTCTCACAAGTTTCTCCAATCCCAGTGACTTGGGCCTGGCATCTCCTGTCAGATAGCTCTGGTTATAGTTTGAACATACCATTCTTTTAATTTTACTGCGGTGTCTTCATTAAAAGCAGATCACCCTAGCTCCTGTACTTCCCATACAAAATGCCTATCAACGTGTCCAGATGTATTCCTTACAGAAAAGGGGATGAATTCTTAGTTGTTCACCCTCATAACAAATTTCAGAGCCATCTGTGTTACCACTTTGTGGTCTTTTGCTTGACACTACAAATTGCCTTTGTAAACCAAGAAATCAGGTTAAAATGATTTGTGAACCCAGTGGGAGACCGGGAAGATGTTCCTGACTCCTGGCTTCGGATCAACTCAGCTCTGGCTGTGGTGGCCACTTGAGGAGGGAATCTCCTCCATAAATCTGCCTTTCTAATAAAAATAAATCTTAAAAAAAAAAAAAAGATTGCTTTTGTTCAGCTCCAAAATAGATTTGCAAATCAAGAGTTTAGTTAGTAAACAAACGCATGTTCAGTCAAGGAACGGAAGACTATGTTTATAAAGGGAAAAGGAGGAAAAATGTGGTAAGGTGAAGTAACTTGTTTCCAACAATATTCAGTTGGCCTTATTACACAAGTTGTTTGGAATGAATTGAGATTGGTGCTGAAAGCCTGTCCAGAGGTTTGGCTATATCCATGATGGGTTGCTAGGGAATACAATAAGAGAGTTACCAATAAGCAGTATGTCTTCTGAAAAGTCCCCAGATTGCAAATTGTCACAATCTGGGTTCTTTTAAACTTGTTCTTTCCAAATGTGTTCCTTACCTGGAAGTTAAAGGTTGATGGATTTTGTGACTGTGAAGTAAGTGATGCCTGCAAAATATGAATTCTGAAGCTTAGAGACCTTTCCCGCTCTCTTAACCAAACTGCAGCTAAATTAATTTTTATTCAACCATTATATAAATGTAGGTCATTTATTCCTTAATTGAAGAATTTTACTTTGGTGTAGTGGTAATGTCTTCCTCAGAAGTAGAAAATGGGGCCCGGCGCTGTGGCGCAAGTGGTTAAAGGTCCTCACCTTGCACGCCCGGGATCCCATATGGGCGCCAGTTCTAATCCCGGCAGCCCCGCTTCCCTTCCAGCTCCCTGCCTGTGGCCTGGGAAAGCAGTCAAGGATGGCCCAAAGCCTTGGGACCCTGCACCCGCGTGGGAGACCCGGAAGAGCTCCTGGCTCCTGGCTTCAGCTTGGCTCAACTCTGGCCATTGAGGTCACTTGGGGAGTGAATCATCGGACGAAAGATCTTCTTCTGTCTTTCCTCCTCTCTGTATATCTGACTTTGTAATAAAAATAAATCTTAAAAAAAAAAAAGAAATTTGCAGTTACTTTAACATTGTATTGTCTTCATAACGAAACAAAAGATGGAGGGCTGCGTCCCCTGGCCCTTTCTCTTCTTAAATCTCCTCCCAGTTTGAAATCTTCATCTCTCTTGCCAGGCAGCATTCTCCCTCGAGAATGCTGTGGGCTCCACACACTCAGGCCTCAGCACAATCTTCTTTGTAGTTTCAGCCTTTTTCTGGAAAACCAGCCTCTTCTGGCCACCCTAGCCATTCTGCTTCCTGCTGTAATGTGGCTTTCCTTGGCACGGAGAGGATTTTTACCCTCTCCATTGTGCCGCTTTGAGGGGTGGCGCTTGACATACTTCTTAACGAAGGTCCAGCAGGTTTTCAAAATATTCACCGTTTGCAGAGCACTGCTGACATGGAACAGCTTTTCCATTTTATTTATTTGTTTGTTTGTTTTAGACTCAAACTACCTACTTTGTGTGTATGTGTGTGTGTGTTTATTGAATTTTTTTTTCATTTTATTTTCGATGATTTCGTAATTGATTAGGGTGGGAAGGGTTGAGGTATATTCTCAATAAATTAATTCTCTGATAACTTGATTCAGTCACACTTTTCTAATCACAGGACTAGCTGTTATCATTTCCAGATCTTCTGTGACAAACACATAGAGCATATCAAGGAAGGCATTTTATCAATGGTGAATGAGATCCATTGCTTATTTTCCTCTCAGGGTGATTTCCAGTGTTTAGGAGCGTTTCCAAATCGTGCTGGTATTTTATAGCTCTGCACTGATGTTTCAGCTGAAACTTCTTACAGTGTGGAGAACACATCCCATTTGGATTTTGTTTATCTTTCCAGATGGTGAGACTAAGCACAAGATTGAAGAAGCAGCTTCCGAAAAGGAAATTATAGCAAAAAATGGAGGCTCTGACAGCCCCCAAAAGGATGTTCTACAGGATTCTGAAGACAGAGAATTCTATGAATTTGGGGATGAATTAAATGAAATGCATCAGAATCTCTTTGAAAGAAGGGAATACATTTGTGAAGAGTGTGGACAAAGCTTTGCTTGGAGTACTGGCCTCATTAGGCATCAGAGAACCCATTGGGAGAAACCCTATGAATGTGATAAATGTGGAAAGGCCTTTCGTGTGAGCTCAGCCTTGGTTCTGCATCAGAGAATCCACACTGGAGAGAAGCCCTATCCTTGTGGCTGGTGTATGAAAAGTTTCAGTAGGAGCTCAGATCTTATTAAACATCAAAGAACCCACACTGGAGAGAAGCCTTATAAATGTGATGAATGTGGTAAAGCCTTCAGTCAGAGCTCGGATCTCATTATCCATCAGCGAATCCATACGGGAGAGAAACCCTATCAGTGTAATCATTGTAGTAAAAGCTTCAGCCAGCGCTCAGATCTGGTTAAACACCAGAGAATCCACACTGGAGAGAAGCCTTATTCGTGTAACCAATGTAACAAACATTTTAGTCAGAGTTCTGATGTCATAAAACATCAAAGGATCCATACTGGGGAGAAACCATATAAATGTGATGTGTGTGGGAAGGCCTTCAGTCAGAGCTCAGATCTCATTCTACATCAGAGAATCCACACTGGAGAGAAACCCTACCCATGTAATCAGTGCAGCAAAAGTTTCAGTCAAAACTCAGACCTTATTAAACATCGAAGAATCCACACCGGAGAAAAACCCTACAAATGCAATGAATGCGGGAAAGCTTTTAATCAGAGCTCAGTCCTGATTTTACATCAACGAATTCACACTGGAGAGAAACCTTATCCTTGTACTCAGTGTAGCAAGACCTTCAGTAGGCTGTCAGATCTTATTAATCACCAAAGAATTCACACTGGAGAGAAGCCCTACCCCTGTAATCAGTGCAGTAAAATGTTTAGTAGAAGATCAGATCTTGTTAAACATTACAGAATTCACACAGGTGAGAAACCCTATGAATGTGAGGAGTGTGGAAAAACCTTTAGTCAGAGTTCCAATCTTATCCTGCATCAGAGGATTCACACAGGAGAGAAGCCTTATCCTTGCAGTCATTGTGCTAAAAGCTTTAGTCGCCGCTCAGATCTCGTTAAACATCAAAGAGTCCACACTGGGGAGAAACCATACACATGTAAGCAGTGCAATAAAAGTTTTAGCCAAAGCTCAGACCTCACTAAACATCAGAGAGTGCACTCTTGACGAAAAACCCTATTATTGTGACAGCTGTGTGAAAGCCTCCAGTCAGTTCTGACCTTATTCCTCATCAGAGAATTCACACTGGAGAAAAACCATACCCATGCACACACTGCAGCAGATGTTTCCGTCAGAATTCAGACCTCACCAAACACCAGAGAGTTCACACTGGGGAAAAACCCTATAAATGCACTGAGTGTGGAAAGGCTTCCAGCCGGTGCTCTACTCTGATCCTGCATCAGAGAATCCACACTGGAGAGAAGCCATATTCCTGTGTTCGCTGTAGGGAAAATTGATCTCATTCACCATCAGAAAACCCCACACTGGTGAAAGACCATGTAAATATGTGTATGGGAATGCCTTCAGCATGTGCACAGATCTTAGTGAATACCACAGAAACCACACTGGGAGGAAACCCTGCCAGTATATTCAGTGCACCCAAAGTTTTAGCCAACCCTCTGAGCTTACTGACCATGAGAAGGTCCATTTTGGTGAAGGCAGCCTAAATGCAATCAATGTAGGAAAACCTTTTGTGTATACACCAACTTGATGCAGTACTGGAGACATGATATCAGAACAAATCTTACAAATGCTATTTAGTATGAAATAAGGTTTTAATTAATATTCAACACATTCATTAAAAAGAAAACCCACATAGAGAACACTTCAGTTTTTGTAGTGCAAATTCTACTTGGAGCCATAAAATAAAGAAAAATTGGGCAAGTGAGTGGTGTGGTATCAGGTTGCCACTTGAAATGTCCCATGTCAGAGTGGCTAGGTTCAAGTGCTGTCAGTGTTTCCTGTCCCAGCTTCCTGGTAAAGAGCACTGGAGTAGCAGAAGGTGAGGGCTCACTTTTAGGTCCTTGCCACTTATGGGCCACTTAAAATATTAAGTTCCTAGATTTAGCTTGCCCCAACCATGGCTATTGGGAAGATTTGGGGAGTGAGCCAATGGGTGGATGAACTGTCTCTATGTCTCTCTTTCAAGTAAATGTCTTTGTTAATGTGGGAAAGACTATACATTATGGAAAAACCTTCAGCATGAATTAAATTTTTACTTAATATCAGTAGCAGCAATGGAAGTGTCTGCCATAAAAGTAAGAAAAACTCTGATCTTATTTAGACGATCTATCAGTGTACAATTGTAAATGTAAGAAATATATAACAATATTCCGTTTTCACTTAAAAGAAGCATTTTTCAGTTTCTCTTGCATATCTGAATTGCCAGCATACTATCTTTTCATGTTGGAACCATCACTAAAAAATCCACAAGGGTTACTTGAGCGTAAGCTCCACAATACTACAATAACTCAAAGAGTCCTGCTAAGTAACTAGTGGGAAGGTAGCATATAAAGACAACTCAACCATCCGTGGCAGAACAGAGCAACACAGAATGGTCCATGATTTAAAACAAATTATATTTACAGAATTTTCTATTAGATATTTTTAGATCATGATGTGAAAATACAAATGGGGAACTGCTGCATTTTTCCCTCATCTCCTGGGACAGAACTCCTAAAACCCTTGTGATTTACTTAGTGATAGAGCAACTATGGTGAAGAGTGTATTCTGTTATTCATAACAAATCCATTTCAAACACCAAAATGTATGTTACTCAGTAAAAACTTTTCTTTATTGTTTTGATACAATTCTACAGGCTCTGGGATTTCCTGTCCCCTTCCCCAAGTTCCCTCCCCCACCCCCGTTGATTTCCCCTTTAGTATTACAGTGAGTGATCCTTCATGAAAAGTTCGAAGTCCATCATGTTCTTGAGGTGTTTCCAAACATTGTGGGCAGAGTCCGCCATCCTACTGTTAGGATCATTTCAGCTGTTTTGCTGGGAGTCCATCGTTGGCCTGGATGTATAGAGGCATACTGCACTTTGTCTCCACATCTGAACAAATGTAGGTGCTATTTTTAGATATGGGTGAAACAGGGTAAGCAAGAAAAAGCTATTGGCTTGAGTAACTGGAAGGAAAACCCTCGCAGTTTCTAGGATGCTGAAAATGAAGAACATGCTTAGATGGAAAATTAAATGTTTGCCTTAGGGTGTGTCAGGTTTCAGATGTCTAATTAGTTGTGCCAAACCTGGTTTCTAAGTCTTTTACTTGTAAGTTCAAAATGTTCTAATACTAGTCTCCCTCTGACCATCTAACATTGCCTGGCAACTTCTGACCCTGTGCTTGCTGCCTCCCACCTGACTGCTGGCCTTAGATTGATTCTGTGCTGTTGCTGTGGTGATTGCTGCTAGAGCAGCTGAATGGTGCAATCTGGGGTATGGAGTTGATATTGTGTGGTGGAAGTTCTAACCAGAAAGTGAAAGGTCAATCTACAGAAAAATCTTTACTCTCTTCCACAACCATGGAAGCATAACACGCAGTGGCTAATACCCTTTATGTTCAAGAGATGTGCTGTGAGAACAAGCAAACACCCAGACATCCTTTGGGGACCCAAAGAGCTCAGTTAAACCTATGCACATTTTCTCTTTCAATGCTTCACCTCCCACTTATTCTTAGTAATCGTTTAGAGATGCATCTCTTTTGTAATTTGTTAGCAATAATATTTTGTCCTAGGTTCTGTTCTCTCAAAAATTCAGAATGTAGACATCTAAACAACACCTAGCAGACAAAGCAATAGGAGTCTGAAGTTCAGAGATCTGTTAGGAAATCTTTGGGGATATATAATCTTTAGGGATTATATATCTAAGGACATACAATTAGATGAGATGAACAGTGAATATAGATAGAAAAAAGAAACATTAAACAAGTTGCTCAATCAGATTGTATTAATTTTAAGAAAAATACTAAATTATTTTCCATACCAGGTCATTTTGCATTTCCTCCAGGAACTGTTGTTTCACATGCTTCCAGGATTATGATGTCAAGGGTATTAAACTGAGAATAGTCAAGGCAGGTCTAGGCAGCAGCACCAGCATGTGCATCCTAAAACTGGGTGTGGGGCAGGCTGGACCACAACATTCACCAGCTCATATAAGGCCAAGATGGAGGGGTAGGCTATGCTGGGCAAAGGCCTAGCACTTGCTGACATGTGTGAAATCTGGGTCTGGGAGTGGGCCAAATGAGAGTATGTGGGCAACTCTAATAGTGGGTCATAGCTCCTGCTGGTGATCACGTGGCCTATACCCCTATACCTGGAGGTTGGGCAAACTGGGCAAGGTAGTTCCAACCACTGGCAAATGTGTGGGTTGGTTTTAGAAGGGTGTGGACTAGACAGGGCCAAGCAAACCTAAGCTCACCAGCAAGTGCAGAAATGAGGCAGGAGTGTAGGTTATGCCAGGCTAGGTTATCATGCCTACCGGTTTGCATGAGCCAGGGATGGGAGCACACTGAGCAGGGCCAGGTTACAGCCCCCACCAGTGAGTTGGGACTGGGGGCAGGCTGGGTCAAGCCAGGCTACAGTGTTAAAAGCAAAAGCCAAGACAGGTAAGGGACTATGCCAAGCTGGGCCAGCGCAGCCACTGCCACTTGCAAGATCTGTCTCTGGGAACAGGCCTGTTTGGGGAGCTAAGGAGATGCCCTGACTGGGTTGTGGTTCCCACTGGTGAGTGCGGGGGCTGGAGTGGGAGGCTGTGGTCTGGTCTGGACATGGCTGCAGTGTCCCGCAGCATGGTGTGGACTGGGCCTCGGATGTATCAGCCTGGGCTAGACTCCCACACCCACTGGTGCTCGCAAGAACCAGGGTAGGTGTTGAGATGCTAGGCTACACTTCTGCCCCTGCTTAGCCATGTGTGAGCTATGCCTGGGTGTGGACCAGGTTTGGCTGAACTGTAACACCCAAGAGTAAAAACCAGAATGGGTAAAGGCCAGGCAGGAAAGGCCACTGTTCCTGCTAGAACAGGAGGTGTACTGAGTAGGACTGGCTCATGGAGCCATCAGTGTGTGTGAGATCTGTCAATAGGAGAGGTTCTGATGAGGAACTCGGCAACTCTTCTGTCAGGACACATCCCCTACATGTGATCGCAAGAACCATGATAAGGAGCAACCTGGCCCAGGCCAGGGAATGGTACCCAGCAGCATACATTTGACACAGGTCAGGAGCAAGACAGGCTGGGCCAGTTCATATCACCTGCTGGCAATTCTGAGCACCAGAATGGAGTATGGGTTGGGCCAGGTTGGGTCACAACACAAGCCAGTTCACATTAGGGTCAGCTGGGCTGGGCAAGGCTGTAGCCCCCACCAGTGTGAGCTGGAATTAGGGTGGGCTGGACTCAGCCAGGCTACAGCACCCACGGGCATGGTGAAGCAGGCCATGCCAGACTGGGCTGCAAGCATCTAACCAGCACATGAGGCCTAAGAGTGAAGGGGGAAAAGCCAGTAGAGGGGCATGGGGCTCCCCTGCTGGACCACTACTCCCACTGGAGAGCCTGAGAGCTGAGATGGGGACAAACCAGGCCGGGCAAGGCTGAAATACCTGTTGGCCTCATGTGAGCAGGATCAGAGGAAAGTCAGGCTGGGTTGACTGTACCTACTGGTGCATGCAAACATCAGAGCGTGGGTTGGTTGGGCTTTGCCACAGCACCAGCTGGCAGATGCTGGCACAGGGCACACATTTTCTCAAGTTAAACTGCAGAAGCACCTGGAGAGTGCAAGATCAAGGAGTGGGAGTAGGCCCAGGAGGGAAACATTGCACACTTCTCTCTTGGGTTGCCACTCCAACTGGTGAGCATGAGAACCACAACTGGGGCAAGCATGGTTAGACAGAGAATGGCACCTGCCAGCAGGTATGTGGGCTGGATAGTAGGGCTGATATGGTTAAACTAAGCTTCAATGCCCATTGACATGTAAGAGAGCTGAATAGGATGTGGATCAGACTGGACCAGCCTGCTGTACATACTGACAAGTACTGGAACCCGGACAGAGGGTGGGCATGGTGGGGGTTATTGTAGGTCACTCCAACTAGGCTGCAGCTCCCACTGGTGTACACAAAGGCCAAGCATGTGGTGGGCAGGATCAGGCTGGGCTGCAACACCTATTAGTTTGTGTAGAAGACAGGGCTGGAAACAACTGACCCAGCAACTGCAACCACCAAAATGTGCATTAGCTGTTGAGGTGACAAACTATGCCAGACCCTGTATTGGCAAGCACACAAAAAATCAAGTCTGGGATCACCTCATATGAAGTTTCTCTAGGGATCCCCCAACAGAATTGCTGGACTCAGAACCCCAACCATGGAGAGAATTGCAGGTTCCACGGTTTGTGGAGTGCATGTGTCAGAGCTGGGCCTTCTTAGTGACTTGGAGCAGTGGACAGCATATCCAGGTACAGCTGGAGAATATGGCAGTACACTGGACCCTGCATAGGATACCTGGTACCACAACAGAGGACAGAACAAATTGATCAACTACCTCAGCCAAGTGTTGGCAGTGAATATCTGGACAAAGACTCTTAACATGGACTATGTAAACCAGTGGATTATGGAGAGATTTCATTGTACTGGAGTGGTGAGGTCAGCAGTAATTCTGACTTCTTGAATTATCAAAACCTCATGAGCAGGACCCTCAGAGCACATCCCACATCGGGGACCCCGGGGTGGTGTTGGGTGGCTGCCCTCCATCCCAGGGTTCAGAGGTGTCTGGGAGGCTGGATATGGCCTCTCTGCTTGCTTTCCCCCTTCCCTCAGATATTTGAAGGGGGAAAAAATGTGGAAATGATGATCTCATTCTATCACTCTGCAAAAATCATTACAAATAATTCAAAAATTAGTTTTAGAATTTGGACATTTTAGTAGGTTTGTACTGTAATCTCATCCTTGTTTGAATTTCCTTAACATATTATGTGGACCTGGGCCCAGCGTGGTGGCGCAAGTGGTTAAAGGTCCTCGCCTTGCACGCCTGGGATCCCATATGGGCGCCGGTTCTAGTCCCGGCAGCCCCGCTTCCCTTCCAGCTCCCTGCCTGTGGCCTGGGAAAGCAGTCGAGGACAGCCCAAAGCTTTGGGAACCTGCACCCGCGTGGGAGACCCAGAGGAGGCTCCTGGCTTCGGATCGGCATAGTATCGGCCCGTTGTGCTCACTTGGGGAGTGAATCATCGGATGGAAGATCTTCCTCTCTGTCTCTCCTCTCTGTATATCCGCCTTTCCAATTAAAAATAATAATAATAAAAATAAATCTTTAAAAAAAAAAACATATTATGTGGACCATCTTTTCAAATGCTTGTCATCTGTGTAACAGATTTTCTTTATTGAGGTATCTAACAAGGTCCTTGACATATTTTAAACATCAGGTTGCTGCTAATTGTCTTAAGAGTTTTTTTGTGTATTTCTTTGTGCAGGGGACATGCTAATCTCTGTATCGTTCCAATTTTAGTATATGTTGCTGCCAAAGCGAGCA